ACTTTTTAACTGTTATGTTTTTTTTACGACTTACCTTTTAAAGATTTTTTTTTAGTGACATGTTTTCGAAGATCTTGTTGTGACTGTTACGTCTTTGAAGACCTTATCATAATGAGACAATGATGCTAATGCTTTCTGAACACTTGGGCGAGAAATTTTAAGTCTCTTACTGTGTTAAGGTTTGTAGTGGTGAGTGTTTGCTCTTTTTCCATGTTCTTACCTAACACATATTTACCTGACATTGTAGACGTGACCGAGCAGCAACTCCCAAGCCCCACCTTTCCAACTGGCTGTCTAATGTAATTATACCTCCTATACCCTTTCTTGCCAAATTTATTATTGAAGATGTGGATGGAGATAGACTCTAGCTTTTTCTCTTTCTTGTAGAGAGCAGCGGTGTGTAACAGCCTGGTTGACCAGACCACCAACCAGGAGAAAATGGTCAGAGACCAGCCAGCTGGGTTGTGTTTAAGGGATGGAAAAGTATTGTAATCAAACTTTAATCATATTTACACAACAAATATATATATATATATATATATATATATATATATATATATATATATATATATATATAATCACATGAATTATTATAATAGGTCCTATGAGTTCCTTAAGGTAAATTGGGTATGAAACTTACTCAGCTAAAATAGGCGATGATCCAACAGGAGCGTCGAGCTTCTCTCAGATCTCCTAGCACCGCTGCCGCCTTCGACGACGTCACTCCTCCACCACCTGATGTGTGACGTCGGCTGTGTTTCTCAAGCTGTTCTTAAGCCTCACTCGTCCTGGAATCGGAGTGGATCTCTCTCACTTGGGCTCCTCCCTAGCCAAGGTCTTGACTCGCCTCACTGTTTCAAGAGAAGGAAATGGGAGTGAGTTCAGCTGGGTGCGCCCCCATCTTGAGTTGTTCTGTATTCTCTCAGGAAGACCGTCTTTCCACGGGCTCTCGTGCGTCTTTCCCTATGGTGCTTGAGAAATGTCGTCCACGACACGTCCACATCCAGTCAAGGCCGCGAGGTCAGTGACCCAGGTCACCTAGGCCGCGAGGTCAGTGACCCAGGTCACCTATCTGCCGTTTCATATCGGAGCATGCTAGTGACGTCACTGCAAGTCGCCGGCTCATTTGCTGCAACTTTGCAGCTCCACCCAATCATGTCTTTTGTTGTATACCCTCTAGACCAGTGTCACTGCATCTGGTGGGTGGGTTCCCCCCTCCCCTCCTCTCGTCAGCTACCCCCAGGCGCCATCTTGCTCAGCTTCTACTCTTATGCCGGCTTATTTAAACCCAAATGTACACAAAAAACCGTGCTGCTGCTGCTCGCACTGTTCACTCATAACTCAAAATGTATTTTGAGCTGTCTAGCATCTCATTGGGTTGGGAATAAATGACTCTTGATATGGGATAGGACTGAACTAGACGGCGATCATAACAAACTGCTGTTATAAAGAGTTTCACCTTTTTTTTGAATCCCTGGAAAAAAAAATTAAGTGGTCAATAGGAGCAATACATATATGATACGTGACAAGCTTCGCCGGACATATGAGTCTCATTAACTGCCAAACAATCTAAACACGGGTTATTCCGGACGAGAGTTTCACTGAAAGCGAAGTCGAAGTTTACTGACGTCAACTGGCCCAGCTTCTATATCGTCGCCGACGACAGTCAACCGCTGATATCATCGTGGACGACGGCTGGTCCAGCGGGGAAATTGTCACAATCGTCAGGTGGTTCAGCGCCGACATCGTCGCGGACAGCAGCCGGTCCTATTACTGATAGGAGCAGGGTTGCTATTGTCTCCGCTATCCAGTTGACAATTTCGTCAGCGGTTAAATTGTGCACGTCAAGGTAGTTTAAGCCGTACGTGTGTGCTAAATAACTACAGAACCTCTGTTTGTCCGTAACCAGAGCGACAACAGAGTCTATATCTCTCAGATGTCGAGGAGTTGAGGGTTTAAAGCTCAAGCTGATCTCACTGCAGATGTCTAAGTCGTGTGTCGTGTGATGAATTTCTACAATCAGTTCAGAAACTCGACGGTCGTTCGTGTGTCGAAGGTCTAGGGAGGTGACACGCCACGGTAGTTCGCTATCGGTACGCACAACTTCCAGAGATGGGTCGTTATTGCAAATACGTGGTCCAGCACCGACATCGTCGCAGACGACAGATAGTCCAGAACTGACGTCGTCGCAGACGACAGCGGGTCCAGTACTGACGTCGTCGCAGACGACAGCAAGTCCAGTACTGGCGTCATCGCAGACGACAGATAGTCCAGAACTGACGTCGTCGCAGACGACAGCGGGTCCAGTACTGACGTCGTCGCAGACGACAGCAAGTCCAGTACTGGCGTCGTCGCAGACGACAGATAGTCCAGAACTGACGTCGTCGCAGACGACAGCGGGTCCAGTACTGACGTCGTCGCAGACCAAAGCGAGTCCAGTACTGGCGTCGTCGCAGACGACAGTGGGTCCAATACTGGCGTCATCGCAGACGACAGCGGGTCCAGTACTGGCGTCGTCGCAGACGAAAGCGAGTCCAGTACTGGCGTCGTCGCAGATGGCTGCTGGTTCTGAGCCCCCAACCCCGCAACCGAAAGGTAGTCCAGCGCCGACATCGTCGCGGACAGCAGCCGGTCCTATTACTGATAGGAGCAGGGCTGCCATTGTCTCCGCTAACCAGTTGACAATTTGGTCAGCGGTTAAATTGTGCACGTTAAAGTAGTTTAAGCCGTACGTGTGTGCTAAATAACTACAGAACCTCTGTTTGTCCGTAACCAGAGCGACAACAGAGTCTATATCTCTCAGATGTCGAGGAGTTGAGGGTTTGAAGCTCAAGCTGATCTCACTGCAGATGTCTAAGTCGTGTGTCGTGTGATGAATTTCCACAACCAGTTCTGAAACTCGACGGTTGTTCGAGTGTCGAAGGTCTAGGGAGGTGACACGCCACGGAATTTCAAGAGAAGAACGCACAAAGACCCGAGAGAGGTCATCTTCGCGGACGATAGGTAGTACATCACCGACCTCGTCACGGACAACAACTGGTTCAGTGCTAACGTCGTCACGGACAACAACTGGTTCAGTGCTAACGTCGTCACGGACAACAACTGGTTCAGCGCTAACGTCGTCACGGACAATAACTGGTTCAGTGCAAACGTCGTCACAGACAACAGTGCTAACGTCGTCACAGACAACAGTGCTAACGTCGTCACGGACAACGACTGGTTCAGTGCTAACGTCGTCACGGACAATAACTGGTTCAGTGCAAACGTCGTCACAGACAACAGTGCTAACGTCGTCACAGACAACAGTGCTAACGTCGTCACGGACAACGACTGGTTCAGTGCTAACGTCGTCACGGACAACAACTGGTTCAGTGCTAACGTCGTCACAGACAACAGTGCTAACGTCGTCACGGACAACAGTGCTAACGTCGTCACGGACAACTGGTTCAGTGCTAACGTCGTCACGGACAACAACTGGTTCAGTTCTAACGTCGTCACAGACAACAGTGCTAACGTCGTCACGGACAACATTGCTATCGTCGTCACGGACAACTGTGCTAACGTCGTCACAGACAACAGTGCTATCGTCGTCACGGACAACAGTGCTAACGTCGTTACAGACAACAACTGGTTCAGTGCTAACGTCGTCACGGACAACAGTGCTAACGTCGTCACGGACAACAGTGCTAACGTCGTCACGGACAACAGTGCTAACGTCGTCACGGACAACAGTGCTAACGTCGTCACGGACAACAGTGCTAACGTCGTCACGGACAACATCTGGTTCAGTGCTAACGTCGTCACGGACAACAGTGCTAACGTCGTCACAGACAACAGTGCTATCGTCGTCACGGACAACAGTGCTAACGTCGTCACGGACAACAACTGGTTCAGTGCTAACGTCGTCACGGACAACAGTGCTAACGTCGTCACGGACAACATCTGGTTCAGTGCTAACGTTGTCACAGACAACAGTGCTAACGTCGTCACGGACAACAGTGCTAACGTCGTCACGGACAACAGTGCTAACGTCGTCACGGACAACAGTGCTAACGTCGTCACGGACAACAGTGCTAACGTCGTCACGGACAACAGTGCTAACGTCGTCACGGACAACAACTGGTTCAGTGCTAACGTCGTCACGGACAACAACTGGTTCAGTGCTAACGTCGTCACGGACAACAGTGCTAACGTCGTCACGGACAACAACTGGTTCAGTGCTAACGTCGTCACGGACAACAACTGGTTCAGTGCTAACGTCGTCACGGACAATAACTGGTTCAGTGCTAACGTCGTCACGGACAACAACTGGTTCAGCGCCAACGTCGTCACGGACAACAACTGGTTCAGCGCCAACGTCGTCACGGACAACTGGTCTGGTGTCCTTGTCCCTCTGCGACACGCGTCGCCAGGCGACGACGGCGACGACGATAACCATCACCATTTCGAACCTCGCGCGCCACTTTGTTAAGCGAGGCAGGAAGCATCTGAGATAGTTAACCCTGTTGACGAGCGTCACTAACCGTCGTAGAGTGCCGAGGACTGGCACCCTCGTCCAGGCACTCCTGTCGTTGAGGTTGTCCGTGTCCGGGGCGGAGACGAGGCCCCCCACCAGAGGCAAGGGCGACACCAGCCGCTTGAAGCAGCTCCCGGGCGTCATCAGCCTTTGATGGAGGTCGTCCTCCAGGCCACCGCTCGTCTGCGGGTACCAGGCGATGATAGCCTCCTCCTCCTCCAGGCCGAGGCCGGGGATGGCCTCCTTCACCGCCCAGCAGAAGGATGACAGTCTCTCGAGGGCGCCCCGACCCTTCACCTGCTGCAGGAGGTCGACCTCCTGGAGTGACAGGATGTCGCAGCACATCTCAAGGAGCATCCACGTCAAGATTGTCAGTGTCGCTAGGATTATGTGTGTGATGATCATAGTGTTTGCTGTAGAATGTTTTATTGTTTTACTAGATTTATAATGTATTTGTAAGTGATTCTAGAGGAGTCAAAGAGGGATGTGTGGGCATGTGTCAGGTGCATCCTCAGAGCTGCACAACTTCCACGTCGGTATTTACCGGTAAGTGAACAGACACACATCGGGTGTTTACTTTATCGGGTGTACTGACAAGTGAAGGAACACATTACAAACGCTGCCCAAGCTCTTCTCCTGCCAAGGGAATCGAACCTGGCATCCTTGGATCAGAGTCTACTGCGCCACGGGAACCTCTGTGTTCACGAGGTGGAGCGACTGGGTAAGGTAGGGTAATAACCAAGATAAAACGCTAAGGAAATACGACTATGTAACACTTGGAAAGAGTCTGGATGAGGATTTAGGATGGGACGGGGAGAAAACAATGGTGCCCAACAACTTGGACGGTCGGGGATTGAACGCCGACTTGTAAAATGGGAGACCGTTGCTCTACCGTCCAGTCCAAGTGGTTGTGTTGGGATGCATATAGCGTATCTCTCCCGCATGATAAAGAGTGAAACATTCCATAAGCATTAGTGAGCAGCGCCGCGTGTGGAGGAGACCAGACACTGCCTGCTAGCTGTACCAAACTTTGCAGGGTGACTGGTCTGTGTCCGGGGATGGTCACTAGCGAGTCAGGGGTCGAGACCTTAATTACCCCCCCCCCCTCTTTGCAAGAAACGGCAAATTATACTAATTTCCATTGTAATTAAATAAGATTCCATCCTCAATGAGATTACAGGGATAAAAGGAAGGTGGTGAAGGGTAGGATGGGTGGTGAAGGGTAGGGAAGGTGATGAAGGGTAGGGAAGGTGGTGAAGGGTAGGGAAGGTGATGAAGGGTAGGGAAGGTGGTGAAGGGTAGGGAAGGTGATGAAGGGTAGGGAAGGTGGTGAAGGGTAGGGAAGGTGATGAAGGGAAGGGAAGGTGGTGAAGGATAGGGAAGATGGTGAAGGGTAGGGAAGGTGGTGAAGGGGGAGGAAAGGTGATGAAGGGTAGGGAAGGTGGTGAAGGATAGGGAAGATGGTGAAGGGTAGGGAAGATGGTGAAGGGGGAGGAAAGGTGATGAAGGGTAGGGAAGGTGGTGAAGGGTAGGGAAGGTGGTGAAGGGAAGGGAAGGTGGTGAAGGATAGGGAAGATGGTGAAGGGTAGGGAAGATGGTGAAGGGGGAGGAAAGGTGATGAAGGGTAGGGAAGGTGGTGAAGGATAGGGAAGATGGTGAAGGGTAGGGAAGATGGTGAAGGGGGAGGAAAGGTGATGAAGGGTAGGGAAGGTGGTGAAGGGTAGGGAAGGTGGTGAAGGGTAGGGAAGGTGGTGAAGGGTAGGGAAGGTGGTGAAGGGTAGGGAAGGTGGTGAAGGGTAGGGAAGGTGGTGAAGGGTAGGGAAGGTGGTGAAGGGTAGGGAAGGTGGTGAAGGGTAGGGAAGGAAAGAACTCACAGTTCCTGCGACGGCGCTGGAACCAATCGTATTGGCGTATGCCTTTCCATTGGAGACTTTCAGCGCCGTGGAGAGGGGGGACCTGCTGCCTGGGTAACAGCTTCTCCTCCGAGTCAACCTACCCTGGCTTTGCGCCCTGGTGAGGCCACTCCAGACCAGGCCGACCCCAGAACATCACCGGCAACAAGACCGACATGTCCTACGCCGGCAACAAGTGATGCCGCACCGCCTAGCTTAATATGTTTCAACAATTCTAGACCGCACCGCCGGAAGGCAACAAGACCGCACCGCCGGCAACAACATCACCGCCGGCAACAACATCACCGCCGGCAACAACATCACCACCGCCGGCAACAACATCACCACCGCCGGCAACAAAGACCGCACCGCCGGCAACAAGACCGCCGGCACCGCCGGCACACAAGACCGCACCGCCGGCAAACACCACCGCCGGCAACCCACCGCCGGCAACAAGACCGCACCGCCGGCAACACCAAGACCGCACCGCCGGCAACACCACCCACCGCCGGCAACACACCGCACCGCCGGCAACAAGACCACCGCCGGCAACAAGACCGCACCGCCGGCAACACCGCCGGCAACAAGACCGCACCGCCGGCAAACACCGCCGGCAACACCGCACCGCCGGCAACCGCACCGGCAACACCGCCGGCAACACCACCACCGCCGGCAACACCACCACCGCCGGCAACATCATCACCGCCGGCAACACCACCGCCGGCAACATCACCACCGCCGGCAACAAGACCGCACCGCCGGCAAACAACACCGCCGGCAACACCGCCGGCAACACCGCACGCCGGCACCGCCGGCAACAAGACCGCACCGCCACCACCGCCGGCAACACCACCACCGCCGGCAACGCCGGCAACAGACCGCACCGCCGGCAACAAGACCGCACCGCCGGCAACAAGACCGCACCGCCGGCAACAAGACCCACCGCCGGCAACAAGACGCACCGCCGGCAACCGCACCGCCGGCAACACCGCACCGCCGGCAACAAGACCGCACCGCCGGCAACAAGACCGCACCGCCGGCAACAAGACCGCACCGCCGGCAACAAGACCGCACCGCCGGCAACAAGACCGCCGGCACCGCCGGCAACAAGACCGCACCGCCGGCAACAAGACCGCACCGCCGGCAACACCACCGCCGGCAACAAGACCGCACCGCCGGCAACAGCACCGCCGCACCGCCGGCAACAAGACACCGCCGGCAACAAGACCGCACCGCCGGCAACAAGACCGCACCGCCGGCAACAAGACCGCACCGCCGGCAACAAGACCGCACCGCCGGCAACAAGACCGCACCGCCGGCAACACGGCACCCACCGCCGGCAACAAGACCGCACCGCCGGCAACACCGCACCGCCGGCAACACCGCCGGCAACAAGACCGCACCGCCGGCAACACACCACCGCCGGCAACACCGCCGGCAACAGACCGCACCGCCGGCAACAAGACCGCACCGCCGGCAACAGACCGCACCGCCGGCAACAAGACCGCACCGCCGGCAACAAGACCGCACCGCCGGCAACAAGACCGCACCGCCGGCAACAAGACCGCACCGCCGGCAACACGCACCGCCGGCAACACCGCACCCGGCAACAAGACCGCACCGCCGGCAACAACACCGCCGGCAACAAGACCGCACCGCCGGCAACACCGCACCGCCGGCAACAACACCGCAGACCGCACCGCCGGCAACAAGACCGCACCGCCGGCAACAACCGCCGGCAACAACCGCACCGCCGGCAACAGACCGCACCGCCGGCAACAAGACCGCACCGCCGGCAACAAGACCGCACCGCCGGCAACAAGACCGCACCGCCGGCAACACCGCACCGCCGGCAACAACAGACGCACCGCCGGCAACACCGCACCGCCGGCAACAAGACCGCACCGCCGGCAACAAGACCGCACCGCCGGCAACATCACCACCGCCGGCAACAACACCGCACCGCCGGCAACACCACCGGCACCGCCGGCAACAAGACCGCACCGCCGGCAACAAGACCGCACCGCCGGCAACAAGACCGCACCGCCGGCAACAAGACCGCACCGCCGGCAACATCACCGCACCGCCGGCAACATCAGACCGCACCGCCGGCAACATCACCGCACCGCCGGCAACAAGACCGCACCGCCGGCAACAAGACCGCACCGCCGGCAACAAGACCACCGCCGGCAACAGACCGCACAACAAGACCGCACCGCCGGCAACAAGACCGCACCGCCGGCAACAAGACCGCACCGCCGGCAACAAGACCGCACCGCCGGCACCACCCGGCAACATCACGCACCGCCGGCAACAAGACCGCACCGCCGGCAACAAGACCGCACCGCCGGCAACAAGACCGCACCACCGGCAACAAGACCGCACCGCCGGCACCGCCGGCAACGCACCACCGGCAACAAGACCGCACCGCCGGCAACATCCGCACCGCCGGCAACAAGACCGCACCGCCGGCAACAAGACCGCACCGCCGGCAACAAGACCGCACCGCCGGCAACATCACCGCACCGCCGGCAACAAGCACCACCGCCGGCAACAACAAGACCGCACCGCCGGCAACAGACCGCACCGCCGGCAACAAGACCGCACCGCCGGCAACATCACCACCGCCGGCAACAAGACCGCACCGCCGGCAACAACGCACCGCCGGCACCGCCGGCAACATCACGCACCGCCGGCAACAAGACCGCACCGCCGGCAACAAGACCGCACCGCCGGCAACGGCAACAAGACCGCACCCACCGCCGGCAACACCACCGCCGGCAACAAGACCGCACCGCCGGCAACAAGACCGCACCGCCGGCAACAAGACCGCACCGCCGGCAACAAGACGCACCGCCGGCACCGCCGGCAACAACCACCGCCGGCACCGCCGGCAACAAGACCGCACCGCCGGCAACAAGACCGCACCGCCGGCAACAAGACCGCACCGCCGGCAACAACACACCGCCGGCAACAAGACCGCACCGCCGGCAACAAGACCGCACCGCCGGCAACAACATCCGCACCGCCGGCAACGCACCGCACCGCCGGCAACAAGACCGCACCGCACCGCCGGCAAAGACCGCACCCCTTAAACAACCGCACCGCCGGCTAAAACTCCACAAGACCGCGCCACCGGCAACAAGACCCGCCGGCAACACCGCACCGCCGGCAACAAGACCGCACCGCCGGCAACAAGACCGCACCGCCGGCAACAAGACCGCACCGCCGGCAACAAGACCGCACCGCCGGCAACAAGACGGCAGCAAGACCGCACCGCCGGCAACAAGACCGCACCGCCGGCAACAAGACCGCACCGCCGGTTAAGACAAGACCGCACCGCCGGCAACAAGACCGCACCGCCGGCAACAAGACCGCACCGCCGGCAACAAACCGCACCGCAACCGCCGGCAACAAGACCGCACCGCCGGCAACAAGACCGCACCGCCGGCCGGCAACAAGACCGCACCGCCGGCAACAAGACTGCGGTATCCACTTCATTCTAGGTGGGTTTATACTGATGCTAAACCTTTGTTTTGGTGTCGCGTCCAGCTTGTTAATAGTCGGTTTACCTTGTGGTTCGAGATACCAGTTCAGCTTCTAACTGATGTGACTGAATTTTTGGTACCTTGTACCTTGATGGGGTTCTGTGAGTTTGTCTATTCCCCAAGCCCGGCCCCGAGAGCTTGGTCCAACAGGCTCTGGATGGTAGGATCACACCTTCCATCTAGACGCCAGTTGACCACAACACTGCCCTCTGACGGCTCTTGTTCTGGGGTGGGGGGTCAGAAGCTTATCAATCCATAGACTGATATTTAAGGCCACGATAACAGCAGTTGAACCAACCAGCTTATTCGGTGCTGGGCTTAAGGTCTATCAATCGCTGCAGTGTTATTAAGGGCACCACAATGGCTTGTTGACCATCCAGCGAGTTTATTATTGGGCTCATACGGCCTTTCAACCTGTATATAGCGTAATTAAGGCCATCACAACACTATTTCAGAGAGAAAACCTTTGATTTTATCTGAACGCTTTTTTTTGTGTGATCAGGCAATGGTTGCACTGGGTCTTTACAGCCAGGGGTGGTACTATCTTCAGGAGCAAGGTGCAGTTTTAGACCTCACCCTGAACCCTTCTAAATGTGAAATAATATGTTCCAACCAGGGCATCGTAGAGAGAATAGAGGGTCTTCTGCCAAATATCCATAAAACTAAACCTGAAGACAGCACACTCCTAGGAGCTCCCTGGGGTTGAAAGCCATCGATGAGGTCCTTGATTAGAAAATCGCCGACCTTAAGCGGATGGATGGGAGGATTGAAGATATTGATGCTCATGATGCACTCTACCTCATCACCAGATGTCTGTCCCTCCCCAGGTTAACCTACTTTCTGAGGTGTTCACCATCTTACAGTAGTCAAAAACTAAGTGAGTATGACCGGTTACTGAAATCAATGCTAGAAAAAGCCCTTAACCTCTCTCTTGATGACCTACAGTGGAAACAAGCCTCTCTTCCCGTAAGACTTAGGGGCCTCGGAGTTCGAACAGCAACGCAAATCGCTGTTCCAGCCTTCCTGTCCTCCTTATCAGCATCCGACGACCTTGTGAAGGAAATTCTACCTGCCCACTTACATCACCTGGCAGGTGTACATGATCCCAATTTTACGCGCTGTGCCACAGAGTGGGCCTCTCGTGCAGGCCCATCACCTCAACCACCATCCCCGAAAGCCCACAAGCAATCCAGCTGGGATGGCCCCATTGTAGACCAAGTTGCTGCAGAGTGCCTGGGTGCTGCAACAACACAACACGACATTGCTCGCCTCACAGCAGTAGCAGCCCCACATGCAGGGGATTTCCTGTTAGCAACCCCAATGTCGGCAACTGGCACGCGTCTCACACCACACGCCCTCCGAATTGCTGTGGCCCGAATTGTGACTTTACATGGGTACCATCGAGCAAAAAGTCTTAGTCGAAATAAACTTGAAACCGGCCATATACTGCAGGTATGTTGACGACATTTTTACACAGGTACCTGATGTCAGTCATCTGCAGGAGCTGAAGGAGGCATTTGAGCAGAGTTCCGTGCTGCGTTTCACTTACGAGATGGAAAAGGATGGGATGCTGCCCTTTCTAGATGTAACAACCATGGAAAAGAGCAGAGGTTTCCACACTGCAGTCTACACTAAGGAAACGAACATAGGAATGTGCCTAAATGCCAACAGCGACTGCCCAGACAGGTACAAGAGGAGTGTTGTTAACGCTTATGTCGACCGTGCTCTCAGCCACAGCTCAGAATGGAAGCAAGTCGACGAAGAACTCTGTAGGGTAAGGTAGGTCCTAGTCAACAACGGCTTCTCCAATGGTTTCGTCGAAGACATCATAAGAAGGAAAGTGAAACGCCATGCAACCTCTGAAGAGACAACCAACACAACACCTATACCCCCTATTAGACTATTTTACAGGAACTTCTTTTCCACAGCTCATAAAACGGAGGAAAGGGTCCTGAAAGATATTGTTAATAGAAACGTTATCACTACAGACAAAAATCAGAGGATACAACTGACGATTTACTATAAAACCAGAAAAACGGCCAGCCTACTCATGAGAAACTCTCCAGAAAAACGCTTTAAAAGAGACCAACGTCGTCTATGCCTTCAAATGCCCTCTTGGGGACTGTAAGCTCCAAAAAAACAGTATATAGGCAAGACAACAACATCTCTTTCTAGGCGTTTAACGATGCATAAGCAACAGGGCTCCATTAAGGAACATATAATCTCTTCCCACAACCAAACCATCGCCAGAGAAATCCTAGTAAACAACACAGAAATCATCGATAGATACAGCGATAGCAGGCGGCTTGACGTCTGCGAGGCTCTACACATCAAGAAGTCAACACCAGCAATCAACAGCCAATTAATGCACAACTATATTCTACCCACCTCAAGACTCCGCTCCAATATAGAAGCATCAAGAAATATAGACTAATAGGCTTTCTACAAATCACTTCCATTCAATACCCATTGTTTCGTGTTCTGTCTTGTGTTTAGGAATTTAATACCCTATTAATACCACCTCACCCCATCCACCTCACTCAAATGTAGATATAAACAAATCGAAGATGTGTAAGTTCTATTCAGTTGTGTATGTGTAAGCTAAAGTCTTTGAAAATGTAATAAGTTTTACGAAACGCGCTCAAGTGTCGCATAGACTAGAAATAAAAATGAATTTTGGAGAATTGATTTTTGAATTACCACCAACAGTGAAAAGAAACGTACGAAAGATCGAGAAAATTCGTGTTAGAATTATTAATCTTACTTTTTCGGTCATATTTAATAATATATGTCTACAGGAAAGACTGCTACCAAAATATACTAATATATATATATATATATATATATATATATATATATATATATATATATATATATATATATATATATATATATATATATATATATTCTGTGTACAAACTATCACAGTTAAACTGGTGAATATTTAACTGAGCGCTTTCAATTCCCACAATACATTGTGTGTGTGGAAGTGTTACCTTCCCTTAAACCCTCTCCCCCTCCCCTCCCCGTCAGCCAATGAACGCACAGTGTGATGCATAAATACAGTAAAATATACCTTCAAATAACCTGCATTTTCGTCTTCGTATACTACATGTATATCTTCGTATAACTCTGAAAGAAGCACGTACTTCAGTTACCATTTTTATTTAGATTTGAGACCCGGTTCATTTCACCATATATATACAAGGAATAGCCTCAATAACCCCACCTGAACCATCGCTTGTATATATCCTGGTATTGTTATTGCTGGGGCAGTTATATTGTTCAATCCCCCCCTTCTCTCTCTCTCTTGCTCTCTCTCTCTCTCTCTCTCTCTCTCTCTCTCTCTCTCTCTCTCTCTCTCTCTCTCTCTCTCTCTCTCTCTCTCTCTCTCTCTCTCTCTCTCTCTATATATATATATATATATATATATATATATATATATATATATATATATATATATATATATATATATATATATATATATATATATATATATATATATAATAGTAACGGAACCATCCGGGGGAAGGGGGGCAGATTGAGCGAGGTGATGACCAAACCACTCGTCAGAAAATGGAGAAATGACGACGTTTCGGTCCGTCCTGGACCATTATCCAGGGGAGTAATGGAAAGACGGAGGAAGAGACAAGTAATTGTGGCAGGAAAGTGAGATGGAAGGTGAGGAGCAGGTAAGAGAAAGAAAGAAAAAGGTAACAGGAAGATGATAGTAAAGAAAGATGACAGCAAAGAATATTTTTTCCTTCTTACTTGATTTTACTTGATTCTCTTGGTCTTACCATTTTTTTATTTCTTACCTTTCATCTTATTCTTGTCTCTCTTCTTAGTTTCGTATGTGAACACGTAAATACTTCTCGAATCACAGGTATTATGACACGCAGTAGAACACAAGAGCATCGTAGACAATACTGGCGATTACCAAACAGAAAACAGTTGAGTTAATAGTGACCTTCAGGTAGTGAAACAAACGACCGATCAGAATGTGGGCCACGTCTGGGCCGCGACTGGGCCACCACTGGGCCACGTCTGGGCCGCGACTGGGCCGCGACTGGGCCGCAACTGGGCACGTCTGGGCCGCGACTGGGCCACGTCTGGGCCACGTCTGGGCCACGTCTGGGCCGCGACTGGGCCACCACTGGGCCGCGACTGGGCCGCGTCTTCATTCAAACTCTAAATTACCTGCTTTAGCGCTAATGAGTTTTGGATTGTTGGATCAACAGGGCTGTGTACCGGTCCTTCCTTGAATATCAGTTAGAGCTGGTTGGTCTCGTCTAGCGTCGAGACTAAGGGTTGTTAACCATGGGTCTCTGTGAACCCCCATGTTGGTGTGAGAAGCAAATAATGACGGGTATTCTCAAGGCTTATCAACCTTTGGAGGGTTATTATGGCCGCCATAATTGCTTACTGAACAACCAGTAAGTATACTTTGGGTCTGGCCATTGTCCAGATTCAGGGTAAATATGGTATGAAGTGGCCCCGTTTTTTCAGTGGACCGAAAATACTCTCTGGGTTGTAGTTCGCTTTTGGGTATTTGTGACTTCTCAATTTTCTATATATGAATATGATAAAAACACTATGATCTTCTCTCAGCTGTTCTCTCCCAGCTATCAAAATGATCTCCGAAGCTATTAGCATCTCTGGAAGTCTTACTGATGCAGGATATAGCGTATCACTGGTCATATGATAACGTGATAACCACTCATAACAGTTATGACCATTTTAAAGTGAATGGGAATGCAATATGTGTCTGATCCTTGTAGTTACCACCTGCTAACTGCATGGGTCTGATCACCGCTTCTACCACGTTCAAACCATCATTCACACAACGTAACCACAACGTTATTACACCGCAGCTACCACATATTAAAAAACGTTGTGGTTACGTTGCGTGTTTGTTGAGTAAAGAGGTGATCTCCATTAATTATTATACAGTTCAGATCTAAGAGTCGGAGCGCGGGTTTGTGCTCATCGACTGAGTTTCGTACACGACTGTTCGTGTGTACGAATGTGTGGTGAGCCTTACGAACCATACGTGGTGAGTGTGTGTGTGATTGTTTGTGTGTTTTAGAGAGTGTGTGTCAAGAAGCACTTGTGGGGGGCAGCCATGGGGGTACAGGGGCACTTGTGGGGGGCGGCCATGGGGGTACAGGAGCACTTGTGGGGGGCGGCCATGGGGGTACAGGGGGCACTTGTGGGGGGAGGCCATGGGGGTACAGGGGCACTTGTTGGGGGAGGCCATGGGGGCTACAGGGGCACTTGTGGGGGGCGGTCATGGGGGTACAGGGGCACTTGTGAGGAAAGTAGGGGGGGTGATGCCAATGGGCAAGGGGGAATAGGGAGACTATAGGCGTGAGGAAGGGGGGGGGGAGGGATGTGGAGGCAACAGTTTAGGATGGGGTGGGAGGGGAAGACAGGTGAGTTACGGAGGGTGTGACAGGTGAAGGTATATTTTACAGGTGAGTTCGAACACTTATAGTGTTCGAACTATAAGTAACGAACTAAGTGTTCGAACTATAGTAGGGGGGGGGGAGGTTTGAGGTGACGGATGGATGGGGTCACTAGGTGGGGGGGGGGGTGATGTACACTAGGAGTCAAGCCCAAGATTCATCAAGTATTTCCACAACCACTTACGGAACCTGTTTATCTTTCCTCATTCACGGAAGTCTTTTTTTTTTACATTTATACAACAGTTTGAGAGCTCCTGGGTGCTACGGGGTTGTTTATAACAATAATAACCTTGAGTTATGAAGATTCCAAGCTCATGAACTGTTTATTAAAGGTAAACAAAGCCGAGAATATTGGAGAAAGATGTACGGGTTTCGTATATGTCTGCGCAAATCCTAATCCAGAACTATTGGAGCTTAGGGAAATGAAATGGATGACGACTGTAGACTCCATGAAGGCGGAACCCAGGAGTCCAAGCCCTGCTCTTCATATCATCCTCTGCCATCTATTGCTCTCTTTGATCGTTCTTCTGAATACTTGTACAATGTTACGTGACTCCGGCATCTTCTCGCACTCACCCATGTGAGCTTAGTGTTTCTTGAGTCTTTCCTCGTAGATCAGGCCTTTCTACGCTGGGACTAGTCCGGTGGTATATCTTTGGCCTTACTCTCGCCTCGTTGGGTATGGGAATATATGTGAACTCCATTAAGACAGGATATCAGTAGACCTACCCTTGACCAGGTAGACAGCTGAGTAGACCTACCCTTGACCAGGTAGACAGCTCAGTAGACCTACCCTAGACCAGGTAGACAGCTCAGTAGACCTACCATTGACCAGGTAGACAGCTCAGTAGACCTACCCTTGGCCAGGTAGACAGCTCAGTAGACCTACCCTTGACCAGGTAGACAGCTCAGTAGACCTACCATTGACCAGGTAGACAGCTCAGTAGACCTACCCTTGGCCAGGTAGACAGCTCAGTAGACCTACCCTTGACCAGGTAGACAGGACCTACCCTTAACCAGGTAGACAGGACCTACCCTTGCAAGTTCAACACAAATATAACACCTAGAGTGATAATTATTTGAGTGTGTCAACGAGACTAGGTTTTAATTACCGTAATTACGCTGAAAGGTCATGACGATTACTGTGACTCACGTTTTTCAAAACAAGAGGACATTAAAAAGTTCCTCTGAGTGGAAAAAAAGTTTATTTTCTCCATTGTGAGAGATAAGTGAAAAAGCTTAATTTGTAATTTAAATGTGGGTGTGTTAAATGATTACAAAAATTCATTAATATTTATAAAACAAGTGCATCAAATAATTTAATTTTGAAGTGTATTATTAATTTGATAGTTGCAACGGCTGCAACATGTGAGGGACAACTCTGCAACACATTATAATATTCCACAAGTATTGAATACACAGCGACTGTAAGGTACACTGCACAGGATAACAGTACAGACGAGGGATAGCTGAATTGTTTCATTGTTTCATGCGTAGGTCAGACACACACACACGCACACACACACACACACACACACACACACACACACACACACACACACACACACACACACACACACACACACACACAGGAATAGGAGATGAAGTACTTAATGAAACGAACAGAGAGAAAAATCTAGTTGATATCACACCAAACCTGCCTCCTGAAGCCCACATAAAAAAATAACGTTTGCGGCATATGCGAGGCTGGCTAACATCAGAACAGCGTTCAGGAACCTGTGTAAGGAATCCTTCAGAATCTTGTACACCACATATGTAAGACCAATCCTGGAGTATGCGGCCCCAGCATGGAGCCCGTACCTTGTCAAGCACAAGACGAAGCTGGAAAAAGTCCAAAGGTATGCCACTAGACTAGTCCCAGAACTAAGAGGCATGAGTTACGAGGAAAGGCTGCGGGAAATGCACCTTACGACACTGGAAGACAGAAGAGTAAGGGGAGACATGATCACAACCTACAAAATCCTCAGAGGAATCGACCGGGTAAACAAGGATGAGCTATTCAACACTGGTGGGACGCGAACAAGGGGACACAGGTGGAAACTGAGTACCCACATGAGCCACAGAGACGTTAGAAGGAACTTTTTCAGTGTCAGAGTAGTTAACGGATGGAATGCATTAGGCAGTGATGTGGTGGAGGCTGACTCCATACACAGTTTTAAATGTAGATATGATAGAGCCCAGTAGGCTCAGGAATCTGTATTGTTCTCTTATACAAAAATCTGTTCTGTTCTCAATCTTAATAGATGATTGACAGTTGAGAGGCGGGACCAAAGAGCCAAAGCTCAACCCCCGCAAGCACAAATAGGTGAGTACAAATAGGTGAGTACACACACGGGGAGGGGAAAGACGGCCCAAGATATGATGGATTACATCACGCAGAAGTGCAAGGACGCAGCAAACAAGTTTGTCCCAGCCCAAAAGGAAAACAGTGAAATGAAGATGAGAAACCCATGGTTTAATCAGAGATGTAGGCTAGCTAAGCAGCAAAGTAAAAGGGCATGGAGAAACTATAGGAATAACAGGACACTGGAGAGCAGAGAAAGATACCAGAATGCCAGGAATGAATATGTCAGGATGAGAAGAGAGGCAGAAAGACAATACGAAAATGACATCGCAAGCAAGGCAAAGACTCAGCCTAAATTGCTGCATAGCCACATCAGGAGAAAAATAACAGTAAAGGAACAGGTTATGAAATTAAAGATAGGGGCAGAAGGATTCACTACAAACGACAAGGAAGTGTGTGAGGAATTGAATAAGAAATTCCAGGAAGTCTTCATCTTAGAGCAAGGAGAAATTCCAGAGATAAGAGAGGGAATAACTAACCAGAAACCACTGGAAGAGTTTGAGATTACCAGCGGGGAAGTAAGGAAGTGTTTACTAGAGCTGGATGTGACAAAGGCTATAGGCCCAAATGGAATCTTCCCTTGGATACTAAAGGAAGGAGCAGAAGAACTGTGCCTCCCACTCTCCATAGTGTATAACAAATCACTGGCAACAGGGGAACTGCCAGAAATTTGGAAAGCAGCTAACGTAGTCCCGATATACAAGAAAGGGGATAGACAGTCGGCACTGAATTTCAGGCCGGTGTCCCTAACCTGCATACCATGCAAGCTGATGGAGAAGATTGTGCGAAGAAAGCTAGTGGAACATCTGGAGCGAAAGAACTTTGTAACACAGCATCAACATGGATTCAGGGATGGCAGGTCCTGCCTCACAGGGTTACTTGAATTCTACGACCAGGCAACAAATATAAGGCAAGAAAGAGAAGGGTGGGCAGACTGCATATTTTTGGATTGTCAGAAAGCCTTTGACACAGTACCACAAAAGAGGCTAGTGAAAAAGCTGGAGATGCAGGCTGGAGTGAAAGGAGAGGTACTCCATTGGAGAAGGGAGTACCTAAGCAACAGAAGACAACGAGTCACGGTGAGGGGTGAGGTCTCAGATTGGCGAGACGTCACAAGTGGAGTCCCGCAGGATTCAGTCCTTGGACCTATACTGTTTCTGATATATGTAAATGGTCTCCCAGAGGGTGTGTCCAGACGGGATCTGACCATGGGTATTGAATGAGTGTGTAGAGGCACTTAGCTTGCCACTCTCCATAGTGTATAGTAGGTCACTGGAGACGGGAGACTTACCAGAAATATGGAAGACGGCGAATGTGGTCCCAATATACAAAAAGGGGGACAGACAAGAGGCACTGAACTACAGGCCAGTGTCCTT